TTTTTTTTGTCTTTATGTATTGTATTAGTTTGTTTCTGTTGCTTATAATGAAATATCTGAAACTGTGTAATTTATAAAGAAACGAAATTTATTTCTTACGGTTTGAAGGCTAGGAAGTCCAAAGTCCTAGGAACACATTTGATGAGGGCCTTCATAGCAATGTAGGGTATCACGTGGTGAATGGCCTGAACAAAAGAGAGCTAACCTCCTCATTTGCTCTCCTTTTAAAGCCAGCAGAACCATGCCCATTAGCACCTACTGCCACCCCTTAAACTATCAATGGATTAATCCATTCAAGAGGATAAAGTCCTCATAATCTAATCACTTCCTAAAGACCCCACCTTTCAATTATCATAATAGGATTTCACACCTTCTTAACATTGTTATAATGGAGATCAAGTCTCCAATACATGAACCTTTAGAGGACACATTCAACCCACAGCAAGTATATAGCGTTAATACTGTCTTCTAAATTTACTGTGCTTTCTTTACTTAATACTTTTATGCATCATTGTTAAAAGAGTCTCTTTTAAACAGAATGGTGACAGTGATAAAGAGAATTGAAAAAGTTTTCATTTAATAAGGTTAACTAATTTAACATCTAATAATTGTAGATTCTGTTAATGGGAAATCAGTACATACAATAATCACTAGTGAAAATGTTAAATAACAGACTGATTCTAATATTAAATAACTTTTTGAACTGATGTTACTTTGTCTTGAAACTTTAATTATTTATCAGTATATGATACAGATTGAATTGTGTCCTCCAAGTTTTCAGTCATTGATGCTTAATCCGCATTGTAACTGTTGAGGATGGGAAATCCTGTTATGGTAATTGAATGGTGGGGCCTTGAAGAAGTGATTAGATTCTGAGGACCAGGCCTAGCAAATGGATTAATAATGGTGGTCATGGGCATGGTTCTGAATGCTTTAAAAGGAGAGCATGTGAGAATCTTTCTCTCTCTCAGCTCCGCCATTTTGCTACGTTATACCCTGCGTCACTGAAATCACCACCAAAGAGCTCTCATCAGATGTGTTCCCTGGATATTGGACTTCCCAGCCTCTGAAACTATAAGTATAAAAATTCATTTTTTGTACAACTTACCCAGTTCAGATATTTCTATTATAAGCAACAGAAATAGACTAACAGTATAGTTTTTGGATTTGCATTTTTATTAACTCTATAAGAGTAACTATTAAATCATTTCTCTGCTTTGGTTTTGTAAACTTGATATTTCTGCCAGTTTTAATCTTTAATTATTTTTAAATTGCCAGAAAATTTTTGAAAATTTTCTGCTATTTTTCTTTAGCTGTAAGATAGCTTAAATGTAATTGAAAATTTAAGCAACTTAGTAATTAGTGTTGTGTTTTCTCTGTGTGTTTTTTCAATTATTTGAAATTGAGAGTATGCACAATTTAATTTTTATTATCTAATATAAAACCGAATACAGAAATATATATAATTCATCTTTGGTTTTGTAGGAATTGCACGTAAGTGAAAACCAGATTGAAATGTTAGGGGCAGAACATCTTAAGCATCTGAATTCTATCCTTGTGCTAGACCTGAGGGATAACAAGTTAAAATCTGTTCCAGATGAGATTACACTACTACAGTCTTTGGAAAGGCTTGACCTAAGAAACAATGATATTAGTAGGTAAGTTTAAAGATCAAATGAATAAAAACCGTGTCTGTATTTGGTTATAATTCATAAGTTAAAATACTTGTGAAAAGCATGAGTGGTCCTTTCTTTAAAATTGAATTCACTAAATATTTATTGAGCAGGTATTATGTGCAGACAAAAAAAAAATTAATTAGATTTTATCCTTGGCAGTGAGCTTGATATGCTAATAGAAGCAGGTGTATTTATAAGTTACTCTAACCCAATAGAACTAAACTCTAGGAAGGCTGGATTTTTATCTCTTCTATTTCACTGCTATATCTCCAACTCCTAGGTCAGTGCCTTAGCACATAGAAAGTGCCTGGTAAATACTGGTTGAATTTGTTAAATAATGTAAAAACATAAGAGATTTAAAATGTTTTTGAGGCTTAAAGGATTTACAAGATCACAATTTATTGGGAGGAATTGGAAACACTTTATAGAAGTCACTTTTAGATGATCTTCAAGATTGGCATTAGGCTGAGGCAAATTAATTGCCTAGAGCACAAAATTTAAGAACTTACTTTCAGGGTCATACAACTAGTCTCATCATATGATCTTTAAAGGTTGACTGGGATTTTTAAGTGCACATGTAAGGTGACAGGAATAAGCAGCATAAACATGGCTTTGGGAATACTAAATTGGGTCCAAATAGGGAGGTTGTGAGAATTTAGGACTTGAAAAGTAATTTGAAGCCATGTGGAAGAGGCCCTTGAAAGGCCTGTGAAGAGTCAGTTTTTACTAGTTAAGTGATAGAGAACTAGTGACAGATTAAGAGAAGAAACAATTTGATTATAATCTCATTGTAAAAAATAAACTGATGGTAGTGGTTTGGATACATTGGATAGGAATGTTCTGTAGATGAGAAATCTAAATAAAACTCTATTAGATTAATCTAATAATATTTATCACTAAAGAGCACTTGCTATATCCAGTTCATTTATTGACAGCTGTGTAGATTTCTCTCTTATGTAGTGAGGACCTGAACTGTGGTGGCAGTGAGAATGGAAAGAAGAGGACAGATGTGGGAGGCATGATGAGTTAGAATAAGAGGTATTTAGCAGCTGATTGGCTGTGTTGGAGATAGGAAAGAGAAGGGTGATGAGGAAAGTATCATAAAAAATAATAGCTCCATGATATTTAGAAATGTAATTATTTTATAGATAACAAAAAATAAGATGCAGACTTACCTACGATTATACACTAATGAGATATCTGAGATTTTGAGCTTGGGTACCATAAAGATGGCATGCTATTCACAGAAGGAGAATAGTTAGGCAAGGTATATTTTCTTCTATGTGTATATTTTAATAAATATTTTTAAGAATCAGAATTGTTCTGACAGTGTACATATGGGATATGGTATGTCCTGAACGTAAATTTGAATACTTGGATAGTAACCACCTTTTTCACTCATATATGACAAAATTAACAAGTGACCTGGATATCTCTAAAAGTGTTTTATCCTACAAGGAATGAATGAAATACTTTTGTCTGTTATAAATATTGACATATGAATTTTTTTCCATGGCAGTTCTGTTAAGTCAATTGTATGAAAGCGGTGGAAACCAAACATTTAAAACAAAAACTAAACCCAAAATTAGATAAATAATAATGTACTTAGTACACATATTTCTGATATATATATATATCAGTAACATACATATATATATATGTATGTTACTTTTTTCAGAACTCTAGATATAAAAGGCCTAGACCATACTGGTATTTAGTAAATATTAGTTTTTTCTTTTCCCCTAACCCCATATTTCTGAAATATTAGACAATTCTATTCATTTTGCACACCTCCAGAATCTCCTCTAACTAAAATATCGATCCCACACTGCTCCTAGAGTAGTTTTCTATAAAATACAAATTATTAGATCATTCTTCTACTTAAAAAGTTTTAGTGGTTCTCCTAAATATGGCTATGTATCAATCATTTGAGAAACATTAAGAAAAAAAGATTCTGAGGCACTAGAATTTTTTTTTTTTGGCAGCTGGCCTGTTTTTTAAAAAACAATTCCTAGGAGGTTTTGCTACATCTGGTCTTCCAGTCAGCAATTGGGAACTACTGTCTTGTAAGATAAAGTTTAGACTTTTTAGCATAACGTTCAAGGGTGTCTCACAATCAGACTTCATTCATTCTCTATCATTTTTCACTCTTACTGATATCTTGCTACCTAACTATACAAAACTGTAAATATATCAACTCCTTCTTCATTCTGTTCCCTCACCCTAGAATGCCTTTTTCCTACCTCACTGCCTAATAGAAACTCGTTCTTCTTTTTAAACCTAAATCCAGGTTTGCTACTCCCTTCTCTCCCTTAACCCCCTGCTAATTTCTATACCTTTGCTCATAGCAAATTTGTTTAGCATTTGTCTTACTTTTTTATATCATTTCTATTTGCTGTCTTACATAAAATGAAATCTTCGTTACAGTCATGTAGAACATTTTGTGTCCTCATACCTTTTTCAGTCAATTCTCTTTCCAAACCCCCAACTCCTAGCAACCACTGATATGGTCTGTTACTGTAGTTTTTTGCCTTTTTAGAATATATAAATGGAATCACAGAGAATGTAGGTTTTGTCTCTGGCTTCTTTCGTGTAGCATAAAGCTTTCGAGACTCATTCATGTGGTTGTGTTTATCAATAATTCATTCATTTTTATGGCTGAGTGTTATTCCATTGTACAGATATACCATAATTTATTTGTCTCTTCACTAGTTAGTTGATAGACGTTTGGGTTGTTTTCACTGTTTTTTTTTTTTTGCTATTGTGGACATTTATGTGCAAGTCTCTGTGTGGACATTATTTTCATTTCTCTTAAGTAAATATGTAGTAGTGGGATTGCTTAGTTGCATGGTAAGTGTATGTTTAACTTTAAAAGACTGCTTTCCAAAGTGGCAGTACTATTTTTATTCTTACCAGCAATGTAAGATAATTCTTATTTATTATATTTTAGTTACCCATATATGTTTATTTTTCTTTTGTTCAACTGAGAACTTAAAGGCAAGAATCTTAATATCCCTAAACCCATGCCTAGTATTTTGTAGATGTCTAGTATTTATTGAGATTGAATACTTATATGTATAAGTGGATTATCTTTTTGTGTGCCGAAGGTAAAAATTTCTTTATTGATTGAAAACATGAATTGAGTGCTCAGAAATTACTTTATTCTTTTTATTTATCATATTTTTTCACTTAGAAAGAATTTTCTTGGGCCGGCCCGGTGGCGCACTGGATAGTGCTCTACCCTATTCATTGGGAAACCTTCATTTGAAATTCCTGGCACTGGAAGGAAATCCTTTGAGAACCATTCGAAGAGAAGTTATAAATGTAAGTATATTTAGAATTCAGCTCTTTGTTTTTAAATTGAAATTTAGACATACATGTTGATCTATAAAACTGCAAGGTATGTCTTGGTAAATGTGTGTCTTTGTCGCCACTCTTTCAGAAAGGAACCCAAGAAGTCCTAAAATATCTACGAAGCAAGATCAAAGGTACTTTTGTATTTTCACCTATATTTTGAAGGATTATATCAAAAGTGGTGAAATGTTATCAGTACATAAATTTAAATGTACTCTGGATATAATATAAAGGAAATAGTCCTGACACGTGTAACTCTAACTATGAATCCTTACAGGCCTTAAGTGTGCTGAGGTTATAAAAACATCCTTTAACTCAAAATAATAGTGTTCTATTTGTAATTTCTTTACTTGCGTTAAAGCCTGCCAATTAGAAAATATCATAACAAAGATTCAGTAAGCACCTACTACTTAACTTTGAAAAAGGAGCAAAACTTAACTTTCAGGGTATAATATCTGGGTTCTATTGATTAGTATGTATATTGACAGATGTTTGAGTATCTTCTATCCAGGCACAGCTTTGCTAAATTCTGACAAAAATAAAAACAAAACATTTTTTAGGATATGCTAATTTAGCATGAACATATACCAAAAGTGAAAATAATACTTATAAACTTAATTTTTAATACTTCACTAAAGGTGTCATGTATCCCAGTTTTTATTTCATGTCTGTCATTGTAGCATAGACTAGAGCATTATGAAAAAAATTAGTTGTGCTAGTGCATTTCTGTGTATCAAACCATTCCAAAACTTAGTAGCTAAATACAGCAACTACTAATTTAGCTCACAACTCTGTGGTTATTATAGCCTAGCTTAGTACTGTATTGCCAGTTAGCATATGCTAAGTGATAAGATAATTGCATACTTCAGCAATTTCTGTTTTCATCTGTCCTTCAGATAAATTATTAAAATAATTTTCTAAGACCCTTATTTCCTGTTAATGAGTTTCCTCAGATAATGCTTTCTCCTCCAGAAAAAATTGATTATTCTGATGTGAATCAGTTATATGTCATGTTAGAATATTCAAATTTTTATGGATACAGAAAGCCAGGATGAACTTCATGTAAGTTATATTTATGTACAGACATTTTTGATAAGCACTCTCTATGCAAAGATGGGAAAGTGAATCCATGCATAAGATTTCATTCTCTGTAGAAACTCAGCAAGAAAAATTTTTTAAGGGAAATGTTTTTAGGGTATATATTCATAAAGATAGGGAGAATGGTGAAAAAAAATGATTATAAAAACTTGGAAGCTGGAAAGCATATCATCTTAGTCCATTTGGGTTACTATAACAAAATACCTTAGACTGGATAATTTACAAACAATAGAAATTTATTGCTCAATGTTCTGGAGGCTCAAAGTCTAAGATCAGGACACCATCATATTCATTGTCTAGTGAGGGCATGTTCCTCATAGGTGGCACCTTCTATGTGCCCTTACATGGCAGAAGGGCAAAAGGGGTTAACAAGCTCCCTCAGGCTTCTTTTATAATTGCACTAATTTCATTTATAAGGGTTCTATCCTCATGACCTAATCTCTTCCCAAGACCCCACCTCTTAATATTATCACCTTGAGGGTTGGATTTCAACATATAAATTTTGGGGGGACACATACATTCAAACCATAGCATAGGTAGACAAGTGGTTACTGAGTTAGTAGATCAGAAAGGCTTTTTGGCTGTTATAGATAATGCTGCAATAAACATTCATGTACAAGTTTTTGTGTGAACATGTTTTTATTTCTCTTGGGTATATAACTAGGTGTGGAATTTCTGGGTGGTATGATGACTGTATGTTTTACCATTGAGGAACTGCCAGATTGTTTTCCAAAGTGGCTGCACCAACTTGTATTCTCATCAGTAGTGCATAAAGGTTCTTATTCCTCCATGTCCTCAGCAACTCTTCTTATCTGACTTTCTGATTCTAGCCATGCTGATGGGTGTTAAGTGGTATCTCATTGTGGCTTTGATTTGCATTTCCCTGATGAGTAATGATGTTGAGCATCTTTTCATGTGTTTATTTGGCCATTTGTACATCTTTGAAGAAATGTCTATTCAGATTCTTTGTCCATTTTTTAATTTTTATGTGTGTGTTTATTTTTTATTGGGTTATTTATCTTTTTTATTATTGAGCTGTAAGAGTTTTTATATACTATAGATACAAGTCCCTTGTCAGATATATAATTTACAAATATTCTATAGCTCTCTGTGTGGTTGTCTTTTCGTTGTTGATGGTGTCCTTTGAAGCACAAAAATTTTAATTTTGAGGAAGTCCAATGTTTCTGTCTTTTTTTTTGCTCATGCTTTTTGTTTCATATCTAAGAATACTTTGAAAAATGCTAGGTTATGAAGATTTGACCTCTCTTTTCTTCTAAGGGTTTTATGCTTTTGCTCTTAAATTTAGTCTTTAATCCATTTTGAATTAGTTTTTATATACAGTTTGAGGTAAAGGTATAATAATTGTTTCATTATTTTGTATGTGGCTATCCAGTTTCCCAGCATCACCTGTTGAAAAGACTATTCCTTCTTTACTGAATGTTCTTGTCATTCTTGTTGAAAATCAGTTGACTGTCAATGTGTTTATTAGTGGACTCTCACTTTTATTCTGTTGATCTGTATGTCTGTCCTGTGCTAGTTCCATACTGTCTTCATTACCATTGCTTTGTAGGTAAGTTTTGAAATTGGGAAGTTTGAATCCTCCTCCATTATTTTTCTTTCTCAGGATTGTTTTGGTTATTCTCACTTTCTTGCAGTTCCATTTAAATTTTAGAATCAGCTTGTTAATTTCTGCCAAGATAGGGATTGCATGTCTGTAGATCATTTGGGATTTATCTGTTGCTATCCTAACAATATTAAGTATTCCAGTTCCTGAACATGAGATGCTTTTCCATTTATTTAGATCTTTAATTTCTTTCAACAATGTTTTGTAGTTTTCAGAATATGTTTTACACTTCTCTTAAATTTATTCCTAGGCATTTTATTCTTTTTGATGTTATTAAGAATATAATTGTTTTCTTAATTTCATTTTTGTATTCATTGCAACTGTGCAGGAATATAATGATTTTTGTATACTAATCTTATATCTTGCAACCTGCTGAAACTATTAGTTTTAATAGTTTTTTAGTGTATTCCTCTGGATTTTCTATATACAAGATTATGTCATATGTAAATAGAGATAATTTTGCTTCTACCTTTCCAATCTGGATGCTTTTATTTCTTTTTTCTTGCCTTATTGCCCTGGCTAGAACCTCCAGAATAATGTTGAAAAGAAGGGGTAAGATTGGACATCTTTTGGGGAAAGCATCCAATCTTTCATCATTGAATATCATGTTAGCTGTGGGTTTCGTAGATGCCATCACGTTGAGTTCCCTTCTATTTATCATGAGTGTATTATCATAAAAGAGTGTTTGGTTTTATCAGATGCTTCTTCTGCATCTATTGAGGTGATTTTCTGATTATTACATAAATTGATTTTCAGATGGTAAACCGACCTTGCATCCAAGTCTTGGTCATGTTGTATAATTCTTTTCATATGTTGCTGAATTTTTGCTAGTTGAGGTTTTTTATGTCCACATGCATAAGAGTTATTGATTTTTTTTTTTTTTCCTGTGATATTTTTGTCTGGTTTGGGCATATCAGGGTAGTACTGTCCTCATAAAATGAATTGGGTTCTGATTATTACATAAATTGATTTTCAGATGGTAAACCGACCTTGCATCCAAGTCTTGGTCATGTTGTATAATTCTTTTTATATGTTGCTGAATTTTTGCTAGTTGAGGTTTTTTATGTCCACATGCATAAGAGTTATTGATCTTTTTTTTTTTTTTTTTTCTTGTGATATTTTTGTCTGGTTTGGGCATATCAGGGTAGTACTGTCCTCATAAAATGAATTGGGAAATGTTCCTTCCTCTTCTGTTTTTTGGAAGAGTTAGTGAAGAATTGGTATTAATTCTTGAATGTTTTGTAGAATTCAGCAGTGAAGCCATCTAAGCCTGGACATTTCTTTGTGGCTAGTTTTTTGATTACTAATTCAATTTCTTCACTTGTTACAGATATACTCAAATTGTCTATTTCTTCTTAAGTTGGTTTTGGTAGTTTGTATCTTTGTAGGAATTTGTCCACTTCATCTAAGTTACCTATTGTTGGCATATAGTTGTTCATAGTTCAGCCATTTTTTTTTTAAGGTCAGTAATAATGTCCTCTCTTTCATTTCTGATTCTAGTAATGTGAATCTTCTCTCTTTTTTTCTTGGTCACACTAGCTAAAGGTTTGTCAATTTTGTTGTTTTTTTTAACCAATGAACCAGCTTTTGAGTTTATAGATTTTCTCTACTGTTTTTCTATTCTCTATTTCACTAATTTCTACATTTCCTTCTGCTTGCTTTAGGTTTAGTTTACTCTTCTTTTTCTAGTGTCTTAAGGTGTAAGGTTAGGTTATTGAGATCTTTCTTAATATAGGCATTTACACCTATAAATTTCCTTTTAAGATGGCTTTAGTTGCAGCTCATAAGTTTTGGTACGTTTTGTCATTTTCATTTATCTCAAAGTATTTTCTTATTTCTTTTTTGATGTCTCATTGATCCATTTGGTTGTATAATAGTGTGTTGTTTAATTTCCGTTATAATGTATCCCTGACATAAAGCATATTTTCTTTTAAAGTCTATTTTGTCTGATATTAGTATAGTTGCTACCTATGGCTTTCCTATAGTTGACTTATTCCATGATTTTCTTCTGTGAGCTAGCTTGCCTTCAGTCTAGGCTATATCTTTGATAGATCCGTGAATCTCCTCTCAATTGCCTTTTAACACAATCTCCATTGTTTTTGAGAGCCTTCAAAAAAAGTCAGTTGCTTTGGGAAGAGATTAGGAGCTACCCATTTTATGGCCTGTTTCTCTCTCAAGCAAAATCTCTGAGCCAGGGCTGTGGAGCTGGGGATGGGGACAATGGCAAGCTTCTCTCTGAGTGATACTCCATTCTGGGAACTGAGCATTTATTGGAAGGGTGGGGTGGAGGGGGGGGGGAGAAAGGAAGTAGCCTGAGGTTCTCTTGGTTTGACTTTTCTTTCTTTGAACCACCAGCTTGAGAGCCAGGGGAAGGGCAGTGAGGACCACAGTATTCTCAGTGTGCCAAGTCCA